TCTTTTGGGTCATAAAGTTCTTATGGGTGAAGGGATATGTCTAGCACCGATTAATAATTGTATGCTTACTGTTTTTAAGGATGATGTAATTGAATTATTGCCAAGCTCTTGTTGCTCCTTGTATGACTTGATAGTTTTCTTTTCTGTATATAAACTACGGATTTGCAGAAGTAAAATTGCAGCAGATTCAAACCACTTCTGAGTGTGTCGTCTGTCTGTCATTCACCGAATCCTTGCCTTCCTGAATACCCAAGCTTTGGTCCCCCTACTGTAGATGTAGCCAACCATCTTATTAAATAAGTAACACAGAACCAATGTAAAAGGGAAAGCCAAGAGGTCAGAGCTCAGAGCTAAAGCCTTACTTACCCTTCCTCCTGCAGTGCTCCTACCTCTCCGAACGAGACCTACTTCCTGTGTGTTTGTCTTTAATATAGTCTTTCTGTTCTGCCTTCTCATTGGTTGTAAACCCAAATACATGACTGCCTCGACACTGCCTGTAAGTACAGCCCTCCAGGTCTTAAAGGCGTATGTCTCCAATGCTGGCTATATCCCTGAACACACAGAGATTTTCCTAGCTCTGTCTACCAAGTGCTGGGATTAAAGGCATGTGCCACCACTGCCACACTCTTGCTATGGCTCTAATAGCTCTGATCCCTGGGCAACTTTATTTATTAATATACAATTAAAATCACATTTCAGTACAAATAAAATACCACCACATCCTATGGTTGTGGTACCCTCGATGGGCCAGTCTGTGGCAGGTAAGTAAGTACTGATGTAATATTACAGCTATAAGCTTACTCATTTACTCAGTCCCTTGCATATGTTTTCAGGGTTGAGCTTGAAACAAGTAACTAGAAGCAAAGTTTGTCTATTCAGATATACCTGGACAGCCCTCATACTTCAGAAATCTGCAGAATATGGCATTTAATGTTGATCTAAAAGCTTATTATATCAGACAGGCTTTCAGATCCTAGCAGTGATTCAAGGTCTCCAGAGAAGATTACGTATGAAGCACCACAATGTCTCTGCCTGGATTATGGCTATACTGACCACAGGGCAAGATGTCTCAATGCCTGGCTTACCCGAGAGCTACAGAAGGAGGTGGCACATTTGTGGGAGCTGCTGATGGCTCAGGGACTCTCAGCATCTGCCCTACGAGGTCTAAAGGTAAAAGAGGGCAGTTCTGGAGATGCTGTGTCGGCTGCATCATCTCCTCCCACCCCAGCTTCACCTTCATCTCCTCCTTCACACAATGGGGAGCTGGAGTGTTCCTTCTCCCCAAGTGCTGAGCCCCATATTGGGTCTGAGGAGACCATGGAGAGGCTGCAGGAGACAGAGAAGATTATTGCCGAGCTGAATGAGACTTGAAAGTAGAAGCTTTGTAAGACAAAAGCCCTGATAATGGAGAGAGAAGCATTGTTGACTGAGATGGGCATGGCTGTCTAAGAGGATGGTGGTACTGTGGGTGTCTTCTCTCCAAAAAAAAAAAAAGAGTTAATCTGGTTAATCTAAATGAGGACCCCTTGATGTCTGAGTGTCTTCTCTACCACATCAAAGATGCTGTCACCAGAGTTGGCCAGGTAGATGTGGACATCAAGTTGACTGGATAGTTCATCCAGGGCGACACTGTCTCTTCTGAAGCATCCCTCAGCCTGATGGAGAAGTGATGGTCACATTACAGCGTGGTGAAGGAACTGATGGCAAGCTTGTGACAGAGCCGCTGGTGCTGAAGTCAGGAAGCAAGATCATAATGGGCCGGATGGTGAAAGAAGATTGATGCTGTTCCAACTGGTGCCTCCAACGCTTATGGAGACCTGGGTAGGCATTGGTCCCTGTAATTTATAGAAGAGAGAAGAGTCTTCTTTTCTCAATGAACTTAATATACAAACTAATAATAAGCACACCCTACAGAATGACATGATCCAGATAAGCCCTCACAGGTGTGCCTGGGGGAGTGTCCCTTGGCTGATTCTACATGTTATCAGGTTGAAATCAATATTAACCATCATACAAAATTAATAAAATTTGCTGTGTAGGCAAAAAAAAAACATTCCTTTTTTGTGATATCTCAAATACAAATGAGTCAAAATATTTTACCAAAATATGTAATAAAATACCAAAATATGTAAAATCTTTTCAGTATGGACTTACTTCTTTCCCAGGTGTAAGCAACAATTGTCTGAGGATTGCAGGGCAGAATTATGAACCTCATGTAGAGTAAGGCACAGTGCAAAATTTTTCTGACCCATGCTTTTACCTCATTAAAACAGAATCCCACACAAGCATACTCAGGAACTGACCTATGGTCTTGTTACCAAAGAGAAGGAGGGAGAGAGAGAGAGAGAGAGAGAGAGAGAGAGAGAGAGAGAGAGAGAGAGAGAGAGAGAGAGAGAGAGAGACTGAGAAGAGAGAGAGACTGAGAAGAGAGAGAAACTCCCTAAGAACCCATTGAAATGGATCTTAGAAAGGCACACACTGTCACATGGCTTTCTATCAATTAAGTGTTGCTCTCCCTCACAAGACTACACTTTCCCAAACTTATTTCTACTAATATCTGTGCTAAATCCATAATAAAAATTTCTTTTTACCAAAGTGTCATCACATGAGGTGGAGGCAGGTGGACCTCTTCAAGTTCCAGGCCTAGCCTATCTACTACATAGTGAGTTCCAGGCCAGACAAAGTTAGAATGTGGGACTGTGTCTCAAAACAGACTCACTCCAAAATTCTGTTTCATAAACTTTGAAAATGGTTTAACAGATAAAGTACTCACCTTGCAACCATCCCTTTACTTGTGCATTATAAAATCAGTTACAAGAGTGCATGCCTATAATCCAGTGTTTTTAAGGCAAGAGAAAAGGCAGACAAGAGAAATCCTGCAAGCCTATTTACATGTGATAGCAAACAAGAAACTCTATCTCAAACATGCTGAAGGGAAAGGACCAACACCCAAAATTGGTCTCTGACTTTTGCACCCAAACCATGACACATATGCACACCTTTCCACAAATAAATGAGCACATACATACAAACATTCATAAGTAAATAAATAATGAAATTACAATTGGATGATATGGCACACACCATTTATTTCAATATTTGGATAGCAGAGGCAGATAGAGTTCTGGGAGTTTGGGGGCAATCTCACCTACATTCTGAGTTCAAGGACAGCTAGAGATACATAGAGAATCTATGTCTCAAAATAAAATTACAACTCTGATTTGTATTGACTCATCCTGGAAATGTTTACCAAAATGCACTGAAGTGTTCCAGCTTAACCTCCACAGAGGTCCTCAGGTTAGGGACAATATCTGAAAGTCATTTCAGGTGTCAACCAATATGCTGCAAACCACAAAAATATATAAAGTAGCATTTTAGCTGATCATGACAAAGCTATCCCTGGAAGAAACCAAGGGCCTTCCAGAGGACAAGCTGAGGCTCAAGGAATCTTGGTGATATTTGGCTTTTGATTATTCCTACTATGAATTTCTCATGTGCTATTGTAGCTTTTCCATCATTCTTTGGGCACAATTTCCCTTCTACTAAAGGAGTATTTGGATAACCTCCTGAGCAGTAACGCAGCCAGGATCCCTATTTGCAGGTCTTTCTGCAGTTACTGTCATTAGCAGCATCTGGCCAGGAGCATCCCTGGAGGGATCATAACAGAGATACCCCTGTACTCTGTAAGAACAGACTTAAGCATCCAAGGCCAAAGGAAACCACACCTGTCTCCTAGTTCAGGCGGATAGCTTTATTTTTGTGCAATTCAAGGTGAGACCCACTTTTCTTATACAATCTTACTAATAGACCCCTAACTTCTTACCTAACCATTTCTAGGAATGTAGACTGAGCACATAGATCCCTTTTTGATATACTAACCAGTCATTAGAACTCAGTTGATCTCCTCCTTTACTACTCCCATTTTGGGTTATAAAAGAAAGCCTGATGGGTCACTGCCTCAGGAAAATTCTTACCTGCCTTTATGATCTTGCAGGAATTGAGGCCTGGTGACCTGGCTGGAGGGGGAGGATTGCAGTTGTTTGGGTATATAACTGTAAAGCTAGAACTGAGAAAGAAAAGCAAATGGACTAAAGAGCTTGGTGTGTTGTGATTCTTTTCCCGAAAATAAATCTCACTGTTTGTAGTTTCTCTTCTGAGGCCCTGGGAAGTATATTATTAAGGCTGGTCACTTTAATAATATACAAGACCACTGGGCCCTGTCAAATCATTCTCAGAAATGAATATAGATGAGTATGGTAGCAGAGCCAAGTAGATCTGCTTGAATTTGGTCTACCTAGTGAACATTATAGAAAGACCTTTTTCAATAATACACACACACACACACACACACACACACACACATAAACACAATTGGATATAATTTTGTTCTGTTGTTTGAGACAAGATCTCATTAAAAAGCTCCAGCTATCCTAAAACTCACACTGTATAGTTTAATGATTAATATATGTTGACTATATGGAATACATGAAACAAATATAAAATAATTTACATTGAATATATAAAACAAATTCCAGTAAACATTTCATTCTATACCATTGGCTCATTATTCAAAACATAAGTTTTCTATACAAGAGGGAGCTTCCAAACAATTGTCTAACCCTGAGTCATGTAACCACAATCTATAGGAACAGCAACAATTTATAACATCAACAAGCTTCATAATTCTGATAATAGCCAATATAACTAGATTTTTAAATACAAAAGAGAAAATGCCTCAAAACAACAGTTATGAGTTTATTCACCTTGTAACTTTTCCAGTTTTACCAAAGAGCTCACCTATGAGTATCACCCATGCTGTCCCAAGAACATTCCAAGTCTCTAGCAATTTCTAAAGTCTCAGAGGCAATGGTGGCGCCATGGAAAGCTCTGTATTGCAGCTGGGGACCAGGAATTATTTAGAAGGCACCTGGACTCAAATGACCTTAAAAGGGGTAGGTGGTGCTGATGTCCCATGCAACCCAAGTCAGAAGCTCATTTTTTAATAAAAGGGAGACCTGTAGGTCCCTGGCCCCAGTTTTGGGTAACTGTTGCCTTGCTTTCGGACCTTGACCTTGATATCCTCCCTATGCTAATTCCCTGTCAGGTTCCACCCTCCTGATTGCTTAAGGGAAGTTCCTTGTCTGTGTATCCTGAATAATGGGCGTTAACAGCTTAGATGCGAGATTGTAAAACATCAGTAGCGAACTTCTGCCCTCTGGGGTTCTCCCTTTGTGCTGTAAGCCTGTATTTAAGACCTCCCCCCCTTCAATAAATGACATTTGGCATTTAAAATATATATATAATATATATATAGTTGAATGAATACTGCAAATGTAATCTATGAATACCACAAATGTGATTAATATCATGAGTGTAATTAATGAATATCATGAGTGTAATTTAAAAAATAAAAAAATGATAATCAATAAAGACTAAAGGAAAAAAAGGGGGTAGGTGGAAGCTTCCTTCCTTTTCCTGCATCAGGTTCTCATCTATATGACCATGGCAAGCTGTTCCTTGGTTATTCCCTGCATCCTGCCACTCCTAACAACTACAGCAGCAGCACTATCACCTACACCTCTCTGGGTTTTATCACCAGCCTTTCTTTGTTAACTCCTTGTGTAGCTAAACTCAGGTCCTGGGGGTTTCCAGAGAGCAGTTCCAAAACTGCAAATGATCAGGGCAGGTGACACTCCATGAACACCCCCTTCAGTTCCATGGATATTTGAGATAGGTAAGACAAGAGCTGGATTAATGCACAGGGCCCATGAGCTTGTGCAGCCCTGCCTTCCTGCCTTCCTGCCTCCCTGAGCCAATCCTGCAAAACAGACACTAAACACACCCTCTCCCTGAGGCAAACCAGGCAGGAATTCCTTCACTCCTCTCTTCACAAGCACAGCAATCTACCGATGCACCACCAGGGAAGACCCTCATAGACACACCCACACAACATGCTCACAGACATTCCCCCTCCCTGGAAATGCCCTACCAGACATTATTTTTAGCCTGACTCAGAGGACCTGGCACTCCTATGGTGACCTCAGTTTTGAGTGAAAACAAAGAATGGCAAGTGCTTGGCAGCTAAATTGGAGAGATGCTCTAAGATCAAGGCCAGTGGAGACAGCAGGACTGCCAATCCACTGCACTCACATGGCTCTGAAAGAGGAGACCTGGACCTCCAGAGCTGGAATCATATAGGAGCTGGGAACCCAGAGTCACAGCTGAGCCCTGCAAGTAGATCCCAGATGAAGAAGAAAATATGGCCAAATACACATACTAACATACAAGGTTCGGGGTGTGGGGAGGATCTAATGAGACCCTCTCCATAGACAAAGTACTACAGGAAACTAATGACTATTGAGAGGGAAAGTTGTTTTTCCCAAGGATGAGCCTCCTAGTTGATTACATAAAACAACATCACCTGCACTGAAATCATATAACTATAAGAAATACCAAACGGGCTCAGCAGCTCATATTTATTTCTGTGCATGGACAAATAAATAAGAAAAGTGAAACAACCAGTTTGACAGAGTAAGTGGGAGCATTTGGCTGGATTTCTTTTGGGCCACCAATCAGCTCCCAAATCATGAAAAAAAAAAAAAAAGGCTTCTTATTACTTATGAAAGCTTTCTGTCACATGGATTATGGCCTGAGATGTTGATTCTGCCCTACCCACTCACCCAGCACCATGCACACACAATAAACCTCTGCAACTCAGAAATCCCTTTTATCTCCTAGAATGATATTTTACTGAAAAACACCATTGTGGCTGGTGATCTCAGAAAGTTAGAAGAATTTTAATCATGTTGTAAAACCTCAGTCAGACCCCCACTCTATTCCCTACAGACAAAGAGAAGCTTAAACCAGGATATCTTAGTGTAGATAAAACTCAGGCCAGTTTCAGGTTCCCAGATGATGATAGCAACTACAAAGTCAGGATGTTCGGGCACCTGGTGGGATTAATTGGCCCATAAATTATCTCAACTCTGGAGACAGCTTATAAAACTCCTGACGCAGTTGCTGAACAGACAAAAGATCAAAGACTGGAAAAAAAGGAACTGATACTAACCAGAGGGGGGAGGGGGTTGTGGGGAAATAAATTATATGGTTTTTGCCTTTAAAAGCTAGCCTCACAACGAAAGAGCAACTCCTCCCTGCCTCACTATATTGGTGTAGGAACAAGTTCTCTGCCTAGGATTTTATCTATAGAATAAACCTTGCTGTTGCATTCTGGACATCCTCAGTCTTCAGTGATCTCTTTGAGGAAGTGATCTGGGCATAATACACATATTGCTGAAAGAAGGTCCACATCTCTATCTTTCTACCAAGTTCTACATTATTGATAGCATTTATAAGACAAACATGAAAGAGAAATGCAATGTTCAGAACTTCTAGATACCAGACCTGCAGTTTTCCAATCTGTCTTCTCACAGCACACCAAAAGCATGCCTATGTGTGCACACTGAACAGTGATACTACAAGCATCATATCCTCCCATGCCAGGATGGCAGAGCCTCCCCTCCCCAGGGAACCCACACTCAACAAAGCTCAGAGGACAAGGGCCACTACCCAGGTTACCACAGGAGCAACAGACTTCTTTCTGACTCATGGTCCATCTCTGACAGCTCAGCGAACCTGCTCTTTCTAGTCTGGGGACAGTGGCCCTCACACTCACCATGTCATGACTTGTGAACTTCCTTACCATAAGCTACAACAAAACAAGAGGGGAATCCTGGAAAGAAAGTGTAAGCTACCTCTTAATTGTGTTCCTGATTGCTAAGCCTTCCCAGAATCCCTCATTAGCTAGGACTACTCAGTTGCATTTCAGAACATTCGAAGTTACCCTACTGGGTGAAAAGAGATCAAATGACTTAGAGAGCAAATCCTTCTCAGGTTTGTCCTTCCACACTATGGTCAGACCGGACCCTAATCTGGGGATTTGGTAGTGTCCTAAAATCCACCAATCTCTCAGAGCACTTCTGATTCCTCTTCCAAGGCATAGCACCCTCCAAGTTTGGCAAATCTGGTGATATTTCTCCACATTTGACAATATAAGCACTACAGGCACTGGAATTTCACAGTGACATTAACATCAAGGATAGTTCTCAGTATAGATCCGCTCCCAATGCTCTGTGCAGATACAGCCCAGAAAGTGAAGTTATTCAGAAGCTGACAACCCCACCCACTTACTTACCAGAACAACATAGGACCATGCTGGACTAGGCAGAACCAGGCAGGAACATGCTGAACTCTGTGTCTGGAAGTTTGCTCCATCCTAGCCAGGGAAGGATCCACCAAACCAGTTCCCCAGCCTCAGTTGGCTGCTCCACCTAGTCTGGGGACAGCAGCACTGCACCCAACAATACTAGGTACTCCTCACTGCATTGGGACAGCAGCCCCTCACTCACCATGGCTGGCCATTCTTTCCCACCTGGGGACAGTGGCCCCTCACTCATCTTGGCCCATTGCTCCTCCCCATCTGTGGAGAGCAGCCCCTCACTCACCATGGTTCTGCTGTTGAGCTGACTCACTCCATAATAGAGCCCAAGACTCAGCACATGTGACAACTTCTGACTTCCTAAGGAAATTAGCTGAACCAGATGCTTGGCTCCTGGAAGAACACACCCATCTGACTGGCAGGTCTGCTGGAAGCTCTGATTGGCTAGTGAGGACTGAGTGACAGGACCAGGTAAGCAGAAGGGAGACAGCACAGTGATTCCCAGAACAGCCTTCGAATCTAAGGACAGACATTTTTCAATTGCCTGGGATTTGTGCCAAATTTGACAACAAGTCTCTTGTTAATGAAAATCAATGGGTTCAGTTTTAAAATGAAGTAAACAAATTCAAAAGGAGGCTAATCAGACAATGTTTCACAAAAGGAACACAGGGTAACTCTAGAATGTTATAAAGAAAGTCCACGGTGGTGTTGGGACTGATAACCACAGCCCCTTGTGTGGAAAGTGTTGGGTTCTGAGGATCTGAAGAAACCCTTTCCAAAGTCCCAGGCCCCAGATTTTTACCAGGTCTCTGTTAGTTATTTGGTGGTGCTCTTACCCTGTGAGGAAATGTCACAAAACATGACAGAATCCACTAACAAGAGTTTTATTAAGATAAGAGAGAGATGGATATGTGCATAAAGAGAGAAGTCGGGAATATGGCGCTGGCTTATAAAGGCTGGGCCACAACTGCATACACAGGCCCATGTGTCTACTCCATGCATGCATGTAGAACACATGGTTGTGTTGCGCTGCGCACTTTATGCTACCATGCAAAGCCACGGACCTGGTCATGCCAGACGTTTTGACCCAGAAATGGCTATTTTTACCCGGGAATGCCTAGATGGAAGTTTCTAGGTCTGCCCGGCTTGCTCAATTATGCCCAACCATGGGGGCATGTTGTGAATCTCTATCAGTCTCCAAAGCCTATTCCGAGTATTAGAGGTGGAGATGTTTTTGCTCTATACACCAGGTTCTTAGACTAACCTATGCAGGTTGCCAAACTCAGAGAGGCCTAGTTTCAAGTACATTCAAAGTTCTGTATATTGCTTTTGACATTTAGGTGTAACATCCATTTGAAATTAATTTGAGGAGGTTGTAAATGGCATGTCATGTACTGGGTAGCATTCCACTTAGTAGCTGCAATGCTGAAAAATATAATTGGTGATATAAAGGATTTACCAATGCTTAAGAAATAGTAATTTACACAAGGTACAATTTAGCTATAAGAGGACTGCCTCTAAAATTCCCCAGAGATGAATAGTATGTTAACCAGGGTTGTTAAAGATTCAGATACTAGGGTGTAAATGTTTATTCACCTTTAATGTATACTAGTGGTCACATGTCTTGTAGTAAAAACAGTGAATGGGATGCTCATCCACAGAGAGGATAAAGAGACCCTCTGTGTAAAAATCTATCTATAGTAAGCTGGGGAATCATGCTTTAATGATATATATATATGAGGGATATCTTAGTTGTGTTGTACTGGATGCTGCAAACATCAATTCCATGAGGATTTGTATATATTTGCAGTTTCTTGGTATCAACTACATACTTGAATTAAAATCCAAAACCGTGAAGACTGTCTTGTGTTTTCTCTAAGATTGAGTTTAACATATTGTGCCTAAAAATATTAATTTATTACATTATTTTATACACCATTTCTATTCAGCACACTTTTATTTAATTGTTGTTGCTCAGCACTATCTTAAGATAAACAATGTGACCTTGCCATGATCATCTGTGCCTGCTTACAAAGCATGACCGCCACCAGGTTTGCTGACTGTTGATATTCCACCATGGAAGGAAGCAGCCCCTCCATCTGATATATAGGGCCTCTTTTTTGGGCAACTCTATGCAAATCAGCCCTACTGACACGTGACGTTCTGGTTTTAGGTTGGAGCTAGAGTGCATAACCTGGGAAAGATTTGTGAAGAGGTAGATTCTATGTAAGCACGTATGCGAAATCCACATTTAAAATTGAGAATTAACTTTGAGTGCTATCAAGCTTACTTCCCATGTCCACTAAGAAACATAATGTAATGGAGAGAATATGGGCAGTGGAAGTGTAGAGAGAAG